TTTTATCAGGTTTTATAATCAATATAACGTTCACCTTAAAAAAGAATTTAAAGGGTTTTTTGTTCCTTTGTTTATGTTTTCAAATAGTTTAGTACTTGGATTATCTTTACAGTCATTTAAAGCAATTGCCTTCTGAAAGCATTTGGAGCTTAAATCAAATACTTTTACCATAATATGTATTGGTTTTGGCTGCTTGTGAAAACTTTTCTCTGAGAAATAATATTCTCTTTCAATATGAAGATGTAATTCTTAATTTATTTCAGAAAAGTTATATATTATGGTTTTTAATATGTATTCTTTGTTCTTTTGTTTTCACTTGGAGTGTGTGTGTGTGTGTGTGTGTGTGTATGTGTATGTGTACTTTCTCCACTTTTTCTATTACTTCCTCCTCATTTTATGCCTCTATTAATTTTTGCTTGATTTTAAAATTTACTGTTCTACTTTTCATTGTCTATTCCTTTTACTGTATCATGTATGATACCTGTTCATTTCCATTGTCTACTTAGCTTTGCTTTTATTTATGAAATTATTTTAAATGTATTTCTAAATCATTCTAGAATTCAGTGAGGTCTTATTTTCAACCTCTCTTATTTTTATAATTTTATTTTTCTCATTTTTTTCTAGTTCTTATGATTTTTTTCATATTTTAATTATATTTGTTTTATTTTGAAATACTAAGCTTCAATGTTTAAAATATTTTTTAGGAGAGCATGTTCTTTTGGTATATCTTCAGTGTCTTAAAGATGTTTATTTGGCTCATATTTTTTTGACCTAGAATGAGTTGATATGGAATTAAGTACAATTCTATTGTGTTATGAATATTTATATGAAATAAGTTTTCTTGAATTTTAAAAAATATCTTTCCAGTAGGGGGATATTCTAAGGTAGCTTTCGTAGCTTCATGGCTTCAGGCTTTACTGTGAAGATCACAAAGTTAGTTCAGGTACTTTGAGAACTGTCTCCTCTCTTACTTTTTTTTTTTTTACCATCATCAGAATATTTCCTTTCTCTCTTTCTGTTCCACACTGAGTGCCCCAACTCTTTTTCTTTTTGTCCCATAGTATCTTTCTCCTGCTTAATGTGTGTTTTATTCCCATCAGTTTCTCTTTTGCATAGGTTTTGTCTTTGAAGGAAACTTCTTCAGTTGGTTGGTTTCAAGCATTCATGACACCTCTATATCCTCAGCATAGTCTAACATTCCTGAAGTCTCCTAAACTCATCCTTACAGTGGAAACAGAAAGTCTCCTCTCCTGATGTTTTTCTCAGATACCTTAACCTGACTTCTCTTCCAGAGTCTTCTCTTGCTTTCTGAATGAATTGTTGTTGGTAGTTTACTAGCATCAGGGCTATTATATATCTTTGTCTTTCTCCTTCCTCTCACACAGTTAATTATATACATGTTGTAGTTAGGCACAGCTCAGTGGAATTTTGTGGTTTGTGAGGATACCACTTCACTTCTTAGGGATAAAATGCTTTCACTGTTCTATTAATTTACATATTTAGTACTTTACTGCATTTATTGTTATGTCTGTTTTGTTAGGAGGTTCAAGAAGACTTAAATACTTTGCTATTCCAGTAACAGCATATTTATTTTAAATGATCTTTACTCTTAAGAGCAACTTAGGTTCATAGAAATATTAAGCAGAAGATATGGATTGACTTTTGTATATTAAACTTGTATCCTATAACTTTGCTATAATCACTTAATTAGTTTCAGGAATTTTTGTTGATTCTTTCAGATTTTCTACACAAATAACCACAACGTCTGTAAACGAAGTTTATTTCTTCTGTCCCAATCTATATGCCTTTTATTTTCTTTTTTTGTCATATTGCACTAGATAGAACTTCCCAAATCACAGTGCAGGTAAGTTGAATTCAAAAAGGAGGTAGTGGTATCACTTTGTGGTAAAAACAAAATTATAGTTCATTGCTGCTGTGGTGGCGTGGGTTTCAGGAGCAAAGATTTAAAGAGAAAGGCATGGCAGAGAATGGGCCACGAGAAAGTATATAAAATTATTTGTGTCTTTGGTTTAGTGTTTAGCTATGCACTCAAGGAGTAAAACTCCAGGATGTGTAGCAGAGAATAGCCACAAGGAATCAGGAGAGATTTGAGTAGATACCTAGATCAGTAAAACTATCTGTGGCCAAACTCAGTTAGAAATACCATGGTGAGCGGCCAGGACTTTGAGTTAAGAAACCAGAAAGGCCCTGGTCTAGAAATATGGACCACATCCTAGAACTAAGATACATGCTCTAAGAGTAAAAGATATGCGTAGGGGAATTAGAAGTCAAGATAATCCACATCTTTACAGTGTATCATCTTCAATATATGAGATATAAAATTACTAATCATATTAATAACCAGCAACAAGTAATAAACAGTAAAGAAATACAATAGTCTATTGTAAGAGCAGGCCCAGAGATGATACATATATTGTAATTAGTAAGGACTTTAACATACTCTCGATACCTATGTTATAGAAAAGACAGAAAAAGAAAAATAATGTGAATAAAGGGATGGAAAATATTGGTAAAATGTTTATGTATTTATATAAAGAAAAATCACTGGATCTCATGGAGTTGATTAAAAGCAGACCAACACAGGATAGGCTATATATTGAACTCAGAAATACATTATTAGAAATGATATGTAAACTGAAATAAAGAAAAACAAAGAAGGCAAACATAACAAAATAAAACAAAGCATAAAGTACGTGTGGAAATTTGTCAAAAAAAAGTCCCAGCGGGAGAAGACAGAGAGTTGGGATAGAATCTATACTTGAAAAAATAATGGCTGATAATTTCCCATAGCATTTGGAAGATATTGCCAGTGAATTGAAGTGGGATAAATACAGGGAGAAACATACCTAGGTGGATTATAATCAAATTGTTAAAAACTAAAGACCAAATGGTAATATTCAAAACAGCTACAAGGAGAAAGCACTGTATGACATTTAATAGGAAAAGTATATAACTCATAGCTAAGATGTTAATAAAAAGTAGAAGTCAGGAAAAAAATAGAAATATACCTAAACTAAGTCTCATTAATACAGTAGATTGGCAAATATAGTTTTCTGGATAGCTACCCTCTTGTCCCTCATCCCTTATGGAGCAGGTCAAGGAAAGTTCAGGAAATGTATGGGAGAACAAAAAATAACTTATCTGTACTGTGGGAAATAAGAATATTGGCATATATCCTTAGGGACATATTCAACATTAGGCTTTGGTGACCTATCTCAGTGGTGTTTTCAAGTAAGAAGTTGGATATGCAAATTTAGATTACAGAGGAAATTCCTAGAATTCACACACAATATGTGATATCTTCTAAGAATAACATAACAAAAGAAGTATCTCAGATCAAATACTCAAAAACTTCAAGGTTAAAATTAAGGAAAGTTTTAAAATTTACAAAAATATTTTTGACCTGATATACATGAAATTTGATATTCTAATTTATAATAGATATTCTAGAATCAAGGAATATTCCTTGATTAAAGTATAGCATCAGAAACTACATACATTGATGCTGTCATATTACCCAAAAGTATTACTCCCATTCTTCCCATGATTAATTTTACTGAACTGTATAAATTTGAAAAAGCAAATCTAATTAAGCTCTTATAAAAAAGTCATGTATATCATGTATAGTTTTATTGGTAGTATTGTTTTCTAAATCACCCACTATTCTATTTCATCAACTCTCTTAGGATAAATTTCCTTCAGGATCAATGCACAATTTCTGTGTTTTCCTTTATAATTTGTTGGCTTAACTCTTACAAATTCTGGATGAAGTGATTGATCATGTTTTCTCATTATTTTTAGAGGTAAATATGTTGCCTATTTCTTGCAAGCAGGCTGAACTTCTCAGCATATATTCTATGCATTAAGTTCAAAGTTAATTTGAATCGTAGTTTTAACTGCCTCATATGGGTCAATTTGTGTCCTCCAAAAACATATGTTCAAGCTCTAAACAGCAGTACCTCAGAATGTGACCTTATCTGGATAAAGGGTTGTTGCATGTGTAATTAGTTAAGATGAAGTCGTACTAAAGTAGAGTGGGCCCATAATCCAATATGACTAGTGCTTTTTTGAAAAGAGGGAAGACAAAGTGTAGGTGCAGATACATAGGGAGTGTGCCATGTACAACGGAGGCAGAGATTGGCATGATGCAGCTATAAGCTGAGGAATGCCCAAAATTGATAGCTTCCACCAGGAACTAGGAAGAAGCACAGAGGGATTTTATACTTAGAGGGAGCATGCTCCTGTTGATATCTTGACTTCAAAACTATGAAAGCATAAATTTCTGTTGTTTTAAGCTACCCACTTTGTGGTACTTTGTTATCGTAGCCCTAGGAAATTAATATGCTGCCTTTATACTCAATCCCTTCACTTATTTTTATTTTGTTTTTCATTGTACTTATACATAGGGTTTTTATTTTTTTTAAGTTTATTTTGAGAGAGAGAGAAAAAAAAGGAGAGAACGAGGCACAGAGAAAGAGGCAGAGAGAAAGCGAGAATCCCAAGCAGGCTCCCCCAGTCAGTGTGCAGAGCATGATGTGGGGCTCAAACTCACGAAACTGTGAGATCATGACCTGAGTCAAAATCAAAAGCTCCACGCTTAACCGACTGCACCCAGCCACCCAAATTTTTAAAAATTTGAGTATAGTTGACACAATGTTACATTAGTTTCAGGTGTACAACTTAGTGATTTGACAAGTTTATATCTTATGTTCATCCCAAGTATACATATCATCTGTCCCATTATTATTACTATTATAATGTCATTGACTGTATTCCTTATGCTGTGCCTTTTATTCCCCTGACATACTAACTCTAGAACTGGAAGCCTGTATCTCCCTCTTCCCTGCATCCATTTTTATATAATATGTATTTTTTTAACCCTTGGGGCTAATCCAATTTACTACTTATAGGAAACAAGCACCTGCTCAACCTTGTTTATTACCTCCAGGCCAGTCTGCTCTTTCAGTGTTATAGGGGGATGGGCAGATTGCGTTTCCCAGGCATCCCGCAATGTAGGTGGGTCGCCTTAGGGAAAACCTCTACCAGCTCAAAAATTCATCTTACATTAGCAGTGAGGATTTGGGCATCACCCCGAATCATAAGTTTCTTTACTCATAAGTTTAAGGCCTACAATGCGTTTTTTAATATGACTCCTTGAATCTTTTTTTAATTTTTTTTAATGTTTATTTATGTTTGAAAGAGAGAGACAGAGTGTGAGAGGGGGAGGGGCAGAGAGAGAGGGAGGCACAGAATCCAAAGTAGGCTCCGGGCTCCAAGCTGTCAGCACAGAGCCCAATGCAGGGCTCGAACTCACGAACTGTGAGATCATGACCTGAGCGAAGTCGGACACTTAACCAACTGAGCCACTCAGGCGCCCCGACTCTTTTTTTTTTTTTAATGAAATGAGGCAGAATTCTTTTCTATCCATTCAGCATCCATACTATAATATAAAAATTTAAGATGTGATCCAAGCCTTCAAATAGCTTACTATCTTATGGATGTCTTAAGATTACATGCCTCTGAAAGTTAATGAAATACACAAAATAATAGACACCCACATTGTAATTTTCATACAACAAACAATGCCTCTATAAGAATTTAGAGTTGGGATTAATCAGTAGAGGGCAAAGTAAATAATAAACATGCAAAGTGTCGATGAATCAGGACCTAAGCTGAAGCTTAAGGAAGGGGTAGAAAGGGTTTCAGCTAGTGAAGAAAGAGGATGGTATTTCAGGAAGGAAGCAAGTTGAGCAATGCTTGGATGATAGTTCAATGCATGGTGCAAATAAATGATGACACCAACTCTAGAGAAAGTTCTGTGGTTGGGGTTAGTGGAAAATAGGCTTGTCTAAGTGAGAGGCAGAAAAATTGCAGGGAATCTGGAGAAAAAAAAAAAAAAAACAGGAGCCGTTAAATCTGTTTAGGAAGGAATTGGGAGTTGTTGTAGAGCTTTTGAACACTAACATAATGAAAGGACCTAAGGGAGATTAATCCAGAGATAGTGTGGAAGATAAATTAGAGTCAGAGAAAGAAAAAAGAGTCACAGAAAAGAGTCAAGAGAAAAGAGCCTGAGAGCTCTTTTAGAAAACTAATGAAAGAATCCAGACCTGTGGTGTCAGAGGCCTAAATGAATGCTACTGACTAAGAGCATCAGCTAAGTTTTCGGAGTTTTTCTTCAGACTCTGATTTCTCTATAACTATTTAATTTCTCTTTTTCATCTTGATTGGATTTGAGCCATTGGTATTTATCTTAGGGATCTTTTCACTGATAATGAAAGATTTTTGTTTAACCTTGAAAGACTTTGAATAAACTTTAAGTTTTAAAAGCACTTAACATGTATGGCATATGAGTGTGTTTATAATGCTCACTATTAAGCTCAATATTGACAGAATGCCAAGTCTGAAATTTTCAACTATGTTATCTTTAATTTCCAAGCTGTGTTAATTTTGCTGCCTGTAGAACCTTCATTTCTGTCTCATTATTGTCTCTTTTCTTGAGACTACTCTAGCTAGCACATGTGTCTGAAATAGGTAGATGCTTTTTCTTTGAATTTTACCTTCCTTGTCCTTTTAGAAAATGGAACCTCTTTATTTACATATTTCAAGGGTACTTTTTATGTCGTAATTGATTTTGAGGACTGTTGCCTGATACTTCTATTTAGATAGAAATTTATGTAATTTGAGACATCCTTCAAATTGCAATGTCATCAGTATTATATGACCTGTTTTTGAGTACCAACACCAAAAAATCCATTATATACATTTAAAATTTGTTTTTTGTGGGTATTTTCATTTTTTGAATGTAAAACATACTTTTTTCCATAAAGCATATATTTCTAATGGACAATCCTTTGAGCTCTTTATGCAAATTTAGCCCCAGGAAAAGAAACAAGTAGAGTTGAAGTGAATGACATTGAATATCCCACATATGTTCATTTGAGAGTCACTAATGTTCACAGAATGAGCAACAAATTGATAAGTATTCAGGAAAATAGATGACTGGAGATTATTTAAAACATATTCTACAACTAAAAACATTTCAGAACTATTGTGTTTTAGGATATGAAATTCTGATAATTCTTTGAATCAGAGTCAACTGGGCATCATTCCTTTTAAAATCTCCACCTGCTGCTGCAAAACCAGCCTAAATAGTTATGTGGCAACCTGTATTGCATTTTGAAACTTAAATTCTTAGAATAGTAATTTTGCACTGGGGTGCCTGTGTGGCTCAGTCATTTAAGCGTCTGACTCTTAAGTTTGGCTCAGGTCACAATCTTGCAGCTTGTGGGTTTGAGTTCCACATTGGACTGTATGCTGATGGTGCAGATCCTGCTTGGATTCTCTCTCTTCCCTCTCTCTCTTCTCCTCCCCCACTTTCACTGTCTCCCTTGAAATAAATAAATCAACATTAAAAAAAAATATTAGTAATTTTGCACTAGGAATGTATTATCCTTGTTAGAATTACTGTAAGTGATTTAATGGTACCATATTTTCAAAATAAATGCTATTAACTAAATTTTAGCTGTATCAATTTTTTCAACTAAATGTATCAATTATTTAAATACAAATTATAATTAATATAACTTAATATAAGTTAATATGCATTCTGTATTTTTTAAATTATATATAATTTTTCTTTTTTTCTAATAAGAAATAAAATAAATTTCATTCTTTGGCAGGAGTCTTATATTATTTTTTCAGCCAAAAGTGTATGTAAAAAGTTTTTTTAATCAAAAAACTCCTATGATAAATATCTATTGTTTTTATACTTACAGACCTCATCTACTTTACAGTATAAATCGTATGATGTTATAATTGGACAATATGACTGTTTCCTTTAGCAAAATAAAAACTCTTAAAAGCTAAGTTTTACTAAGTGCTTAATAAATTCACTGATAAGTGAATGCATGAATTTTTTTATGTTACTAATTTTTTTGGTTTGTTACTTTGGAGTTTGTTTAACATAGGGACATAAATCTTTAGGTACCTAATTTAAATGAATATATAGCTATCTCTGGACTTAAAAAAATGAAATCCAGTTTAAAATTCTTCCACATTTAAGTAAATGGATTGGTTTCATATAATTATTGTTAAATATGTTTTCCTAGGTAATCCATTATGGAGTGTATTACAAAATTCTTGTGAAGAGCTGTGATTGATTTATAATGACCTTATTCATTCAGATCTTGAATAGAAATTTCTACATTTATTTCTTTAAAGAAAATACAACAGTTTCAATTTAATTTATGATTCCAAGTTGGTGTGGAAGAGATTTTTTGTGGTTACCATTAGGCGCATATATAACATCTTATTCAAATAGCAGTCTGTATTAAGTTGATGGTCACTTAAGTTTGTATCCATTCTAAAAGCACTAATTTATCACCCCTCCCTTCTTTATGTATATGATACTATACTTTACATCCTTTTTTGAATGCCTTGACTTTTATACATATAGTTGATTTTACTGCTTTTGTGCCTTAACCTCTATACTGGTTTTATAAATGATTAATCTAGTGTTTTTATTATCTTTATATTTACCTATAAATATTTTCCTTTCATAATTTTCTTTCTCCTGACTATGGGCTTTCCTTTCCCCTCAAAGTATTCCCTTTAACATTTCTTGTAAGTCTGGTTTTGTGGTGATGAACTCCTACAACTTGTGTTTGTCTGGAAAACTATCTCTTCTTCTAAGGTGAATAATGGTCTTGTTGGGTAGAGTATTTCTAACTGTAGCTTTTTCCCTTTCAGCGCTTTGAATATATCATGTCTCTACATTCTGGCCTGAAAAGTTTCTGCTGAAAAATTAGCTGTAGCCTTATGGAGTTTCCCTTGTATGTAACTGTCTTCTTTTTTCTTGTTGCTTTTTAAAATTTTCTCTTTATCTCTATTTTTTTGTCATTTTAATCATTATGTATCTTGGTGTGGACCTCTTTGGGTTTATTTGGGCTGCAGAGGGTGGCGGGGGGTGGCTCTTAATGTCTCCTGGATCTGGATGTCTGTTTTTTCCCCTAGATTAGGGAAGTTTTTAGCTATTCTTCAAATAAGATTTCTGCCTTCTTTTCTCTTTCTTCATTTTTTGGGATGCCTATAATATGAATGTTACTACACTTGATGGTGTTGCTGAGCTCCCTTAACCGATTTTCATTTTTTGTTATTCTTTTTTCTTTTTGCTGGTCAGCTTGGTCATTCTGTCTTCCAGTTTGCTAATCTTTCTACTTCCTCAAATCTACCATTGATTCCCTCTAGTATATTTTTAATTTCAGTTATTGAGTTCTTCATATCTGATTTGTTCTTTTTTTTAGTACTTATTTATTTTTGAGACAGAGCACAAGCAGGAGAGGGGCAGAGAGAGAGGAAGACATAGAATCATAAGCAGGATCCAGACTCTGAGCTGTCAGCACAGAGCCTGATGCAGGGCTCAAACCTATGAGCTCAGGTCATGAGATCATGACTCAAGCTGAAGTTGGACGCCCAACTGACTGACTCCCAGATGCCCCTGATTTGTTCTTTTTTATGTTCTCTATCTCTTTGTTGAACGTCTAACTGGAATCCTCCTTTCTTTTATCAAGTTCATTACGTATTTTTATGATGATTACTTTGAATCCTCTATCAGGCATACTGTTTATCTCCATTTCATTTAGCTCTTTTGCTGTGTTTTTGTTCTGATCATTCATTTGGGACATATTCGCCTAGCTTCTTATTTTGTCTAACTCTGTGTTTGTTTTCTATGTATTAGAAAAGTAATTTACATCTCCTATCTTGAAAGTAGTGGCCTTATGAAGAAGAGGTCCTGTAGTGTCTTGTAGCACACTGTCTCCTTTACACCAGAAGCTGGCAATACAGGGCTATCTCCTATGTTGGTTGCATACACCTACTGTTTTAACTTAGTCTAATTTACCTTCAGTTTAGTCATCTGCCATGACATACTTTGCCTGTTGTGGCAAGGGTTTGGTCCCTGTATTGGCAAGGGGCCAGTTTGGGACAGCCCTGTTCTTCTAATTAGGTGGTCTCAGCAGCCAGACAAGATGCTTGCCCTTGGCCCATTTTCTGGGGCTGCAGTTCCACTGATGTGCCGGCTGCTCTCTCTGCATTGTCCCTGAGAAGCTTTCTTGGTGGGTGCGGCCTCCAG